TTCACTTGGTCACACCCCTGATGTCCCTGATGTCCTCTCCTAAACACACAGTCTCCTTCCTTACAACAGGGCCAGGCTGAGGATTCTCTAGTTCTACAAGTTCTGTTTCCCTTTGAATCATAAATTCCAAATTTTACTATATACAATCAGGACAAGCTGTGCTACACCCTGAACACTTTCCTTAGAGTTTTCTGCCTGATATCCTAGCTCATCACATTCAAGTTCTGCCTTCTATAAAGCACTGTGTAGCAAAACACCTTTCCTCCATTTCCCAGTACCTTACTCTTTGTTTCTGTCTGAGACCTCACCAGAACTGCCCTTATTGTCTATTTTCTACCAACATTCTCTTTACAAAACGTAGAAAGTCTAAGGAGATCCAGGCTGTACCTCTAGTTCCTTCCCTCTGGACCCTCACCAGACTCACTCTTCATGTTGCATTCAGAGAAGTATTGGCTTTTTCTAGTCTTCACTTTCAAACTCTTCCAGCCTCTGCCCATCATCCAGCTCCAAAGCTGCTTCCACATTTTTGAGTACTGTATGCAGTAATAGCAACACGTCACCTCTTGGTACCAATTTCTGTCTCAGTCCATTCCTGCCACTAAAACAAAATTCCTTAGACTAGGTAATTTATAAAGGACATAAGTTTATTTCTACAATTCTAGAAGCTAGGAAGTTTAAGATCAAGGTGCCAGCCAGTTTGGTGTCCAGTGGAGGCTTGTTCCTTGAAGACAACACCTCCAAGTTGTGTCCTCACATGGCTGAGGAGACAGAAAGGCAAAGGGAGTGAAGGCACTTTCTTTGGCGTCTTTTATGTGAGCATTAATTGGACCCTACTTCTAGTGGCCCTACCTCTTAACACTATTACATTGAGAATGAAGTTTCAAAATGAATTTTGGAGCGACACAAACCTTCAAACCAAAGCAGTACCTTTCACAAGATCTTTCCCTTTATCCTACTGGGCAGCCTAATGCTTACGTGTCTAACCTGTGACCAGGTTACTGACTGACTGGAAACTTGTTTGTATGGGCACATGCCCTGGCTTGTCTGACCTGTGCCCAGTTTATTTCCGCCAAGATAGCCACTCTCTGGGAGAACCCTGACTGAGTAAGAAGTTAGGTCAGGGTGTGTTGGTCAGGGGAGACACAGAAGAGGCAATTCAACAAAAACATATGAAATAACAGATGTGGTTTATTACTCAACAGATCCAGAGAGAAGAGACCAGTATGGCTCACGGGGCCAGAGAGAGGGGGAACATCAGGAACATGCACATTCAGCCAGTGTGTGGGAAGCAAGGGACCCATGGGCCAAGGCTTTTTTTTTTTTGTACTGGGGATCAAACTTAGGACCTTGCGCTTGAGCAGCACCTAGCTGGTGTCTCACAGGGAGCTCCAGTGCATGGGTTCTATGAAGTCACATGGTGACTGGCAGTGGTCACTGCAGCTTATCTGTTCAGTCTTCCCTTGGAGGGGATGGCAGCCAGTAAGGCAGGTTAAGTAGATTGTATCCAACTGTCTCCTAGGAAAAGGCCCCCAAGAGGCAGCTGTACATGGCAGGTATCTGGATTGACCATGCTGGGGAGCTGGGAGGAGACAGAGTTGGAAATTGTAACAAGAAAGACAAAGCCCTTATTCTAGAAGGAAAAAGTTAAATCTATACTCAAAAGAGATCCTGAGATAAAATCTTACAAATTCACTGCATTGCCAATGGGCTTCTTACATGGCCATCTGCTTTCCTCCAAAGTGACCGTCCAAAGGGGCCAGGTGGACCCCTGACCTTTCCTGGCCTCGCCCTGTAAGTCATGCAGTGATGTCCCCTGTTTCTGTTGACTGAAAGAGTCACAAGCCCACCAAGATAGAAGAGGAGGCAACGGACCCAGCTGTCTAGGAGAAGCATGGCCGTGTCACCCCCTAGAAGACACATGGGATAGCCAATTCAGGGCCACCATCTTTGGACATACAATATGTGCATCAGGCCCACTCTCATCACACATAATTCAGTAGGGTGGAAAGGGCTCAAGGTGCCAACTCTCTTGAGGAAGTGGAAGGAACTGAACCAGAGCCTGGTCTTGAACCATTACACATCTCAACTGTTAACCTCCTAAGAAGGAACACATACATGAGTTCCCTGTTCATTCTCTGATGTTTGCCAAACTGTCAGAGCTTCCTGAGAATTTGGACTAGTGTGGATTAGACTTTTGAAAGGATTTAATTTGATAGCACAATATTAATGGTTTATGAAGAAAAATATAACCCAGCATTTGTCATCTGTGTGCCACATTCCTTATGACTGACTGGTCCTGAGTCAGGTGGGCTGAGCCTTGGCGTCACAGTGTGACCACAAGTAATTGCACAACATGGGGTTGGTCTAAACTAGGCTTTCTAGAGTCTGCAGCAGGCCAGCCATTCACTGTTGAAAAATAAATAAAAGCACAGAAAATGATAGTACATTAATAATGTGAGAATTAAAAATAAATACTCATTAAGAAATGAATTCAGTAGATTCCACCACAAAAAAAAAATCAAATATACAAGAATATTAAAATGCTATCTGGTTATCAGGTTATTACTTTCATTCTTTACTTCATTATTATTTCTCTGAATCATGTCTATCATCTTTCACAGTTCTATAAATATTTTCTCAGACCAAAGTCCATCCATTCTAATTTAGCACTTAGTCTTCTCTTTAGCCTAATTATTTTAATTAAGCTAAATTTATCTTGTTTTAAGTCTGATTTTCTTCTCATCTCAAATTATCTCCTTTCTCCAATATTTTTTCTTCACAGAGAAGAGACTAGTAATTCTCAGAATATTTTTCTCTAAAATTCCCTCAGAATACAAAGCCATGTTTTAAAAATTAACTTCCTGTTAGAAAAAACGTATTTCTATGTATGCTTTTTTGTATGTCTTTTTTAACCTTACCTATATGTTAAAAAAATTGCCCTAACAAAATTAACCAGTTTTATCAAACATATAATTTAATGTCAATACTACATTCTAAAACCAGGTAGAATTTTAAAACTGCTTTTCTCCCCACATTGTCTCATTATTCTGGTGAGGTGGGGATGGTAGCACCCATGATGACAAGAAATATAACATATGAACATTTTACAAAAGATGAACATTCAGGGAATTATCTCTGATCCTGAAAACTGCTATGCATGGTAAATAATGGTCCCACTTCAAAGCTGAGGAAGTCAAGGCTCAGAGCACCCGTGTCACTTGGCCAAAGCCACACCAGTGATGACAGTGTCCGATCCCCAGATGGAACTTGGTCAGTTGATCCCAAAGCATGTGCTCATCCCTAGTTCTACCCACATCCTAAATTGGCCATCTTTGAATTATGGTCCAGAACAAGAACTGACAACATTTAAAAACATGAGTTGTTTTGTTAGTGGTACTGGAGCTTGAACCCAGGACCTTCAATTCACACTGAGTCACATTACAACCCTTTAGCCCTTTTAAATTTTTTTAATTTTGAGACAGAGTCTCGCTAAAATGCTGAATTGTCCAGGCTGGGCTTGAATTTGTAATTCTCCTGCCTCAGCTTCCCCGGGTGCTGGGATTACAGGCACTCCCCACCTTGTCAGGCTTAAAAACATCATTAGTCTTTAAAGCTTCTGATTCTTTCCCTTCTGCAGAGCTGGGGAGGGGAATGGAAGGAGCGGGCAACCTAGCTGTGGGTGAGAAGTGACTCTCATGTACCATCATTCAGTGGCTCCCACTCCAGAATATATTTGTATACCCAGAAAGAAACAAAAGAAATTTTCTTCTTCTTAATAATCCATCCTAATAGAGGTTCCTTTTTGCAGGGCAAAGCTATAATAGCGGCACAGCCTTAGAGTATGCAGCAAAGACACCAGCCATGGGAGGCACTTAATGATACTTCCACAGCATAAGTATTGCTTCGTAATATAGTTATTGAACACAGCAGCTGCTGGGCTCAACACACACATGCATTAGTTTCTTTAACCTTTGCCCTCTTCTCACTCTCAGTAGTTTGAAAAAGAAGCAAGCATAGAGAGGCCAAACAACCTGCCTGAGGTCCTGCTGCTAGTAATCAGGGTGGCTGGGAGTTAAACACCGGTCTCTGACTCCAAATACCTGCTCATAAACATTGCTATGCTAGGCAGCATCAGGCACCTGCCCTGCCCCTCTGTCTCTCTGAGGGCTGGATGCTCAGGTGTGACTGCTGCAAAGATTATGTGGCTCTGCAGACCCACATGAGAGATTTCCAGTGGTCCTTGAAGTTCTACAGTAACATCTGATGGGACTCAGCAGTGCTCTGGGCCATAATTCTACCCTGGGAATGACCCCTGGGTGGCAAGACAGACCCATATTCAAGAGAAAGCCCCAGAGTCCTGCAGAGAGACTCGAAGCCTCATCTTCCTGGAAAGGAAAGCCACATTCTGGAGAGACATGCATCACACACACACATGGGACTCCTCCCTGGAAATCATTTGCCCTTTGATAATGGCTCTCCTCGCCCAGCCAAGTCCCTCTTCTTATTTCTATGCTGGAGCATGCTTGCCTAATCCATCGATGCCTGTGCCTTGTTAAATAATCATCGCTCTTCCTCCCCAGGGCTGGCTTCGTTTCAGAAGAAATGCCAGTCAGTGCTTTAGAAATGTCAGCATTTCTACAAAGCTCTTTTAGATCACTGCCTTGGTGAGCCATCCATCTTGCAGTCGCTAAGCCCCCTCGAGGTGCATTTATGCCAGTATCATCCTTGACCCGAGCTCTAATTGACTTGGCTCCTCTCAGGTGTGCGGGGGGCATCTGTCTGCACCTGGCTGCAACCCACCTGCCCACAGGAGGACAATGCCCACTCCCTACCCTAGGGCAAGGCTCCAGGTGCCAGCCCAAAATGGAGGCCTCTTGGGCCAGCTTTCCTGAGGACGCAGTGGCAAGTATTAACTTATGGTTCCTGTGTTGTGTTCTTTTCACAGGGATCGACTATCTCCACCCAGACCTGGCCTCCAACTATGTAAGTAGGAGCGGGCTTGCTGGGGGGTGGGGGGTGGGGCGTGCTTTTCAGTGTTCAAATTGCTAGGAATGCACTTGACTACACATACATGCAGGCACAGGAACAAACATTCACACATGCATGGAGCACATGCACATATGTGCTCACAGACACAGGTGAGTGCATACAGAAATGTGTATACACACTCAGATAGGCACACACTCACACAGCCTATTTTGTTAGAGTCACAGCTCAGGCCAAAGGCAAAGATCAAGGCTGTGATTTCGTGAGAAGAAGCCAAAGACACTGGAAATTTGAAAGAACAGAGTGCCAAGAAAATCAGTGCAGGGAGGGGCAGAGAAGAGAGCTGGCAAGGTTTAGGTCAACTCCAGCAGAAGGTGCTGAATTGATGGGGGAAATGAGCCATTTGGGGGCTAGCTGGACAAAACCAAAGGCAAAAAGCCAAACACTATAGTAACTCACCTTGCAACTGTCACTTTATGAGAGTTAAGAACTTGATCTTTTTCACTGTTTTTGTTGCTTGTGGCCACTTCACATTCACACACACACACACACACACACACACACGACACTGAGCATGACACTTGGCAGGCATGAGTTGTTCATAGAGTCACAGTGAACACTGCCAGGTTAGAACCGTCTGCTCCAATTTCTCAGCAAATCACATGCTGCTTTCCAGATGATGAAACCTGCAAGCCCTTTCGCACAATCAATCACTTCATTTTACCCCAAAGAGTACGATATTCACACATTGGTGTGTTCATTTCAAAGTATCCCAACTATCACTAACCTATACTTCCCCAAAAAACTTCCTGTTGAAGCATAAAAATATCATCTTAGTAGCTGAAGAGACTTCTGTTTAGGAGGACAGGGGCTTCTCCTCAAAGAGGAGAAAGGATTGTTCAAAAGTAAAAGTGTCCAGGCTCCTGGTTCTGGGTCCTTTGCCCAAAGGTGTGTATCTATATTTCCGAAAGAACGTGGAAGTTTTCCACATGTTCCGTTCGCTGGGCTTCAGGAAACAGAGTGTTGATGGTTTTGTGTTTACTGTGTGTCTTATAAATCTGCAAGCCTGTAAATAGAGCTGAGAATCGTTTTAGTATTAAAAAAAACATGAAATGAATCATTTGCACAGTTCAAGCATTGCAGCCCCCGAGAGAAATGGCAGACACTAAACCACATCTATGTTCCCAGGGATGAGAATCCAGTCTCCCAGAGAAGATGGTAATACCCTGCTGGGGAGTTGCAGAGCTGGCCCCAGTGGGTCTCTTTCTCTTCCCATGTCCCTGTGACTGCCTGTCTCCCGGGTCTTCTGCCCCACTGACAACATGTGTAGAGCTGTCAGCTTGCTGGCTGTCTATGCCTCCTGCTGACCATGGCCCCTATAGTGCTCCTCCTTGCTCTGCAGCCTCCCAAATCACAGGGGTGGGAAATCTGAGATATGTCTGCAGGGGAGATTGAGAAGTGCATGTGCTGTACTTCTCCAAGTCTCTGCTGTCCCACAGAGACAGGGAAGGGACAGGGAATTGCCAGACAGACAGTTCAGCCTGGGAGGGAGGGCTGCCCTTCATGAACAGAGCACTGGTGCTTCCCAAGGTTCCCACCATCCTCAGGACCCAGCACCTCCCAAAGCAGCCACACAAGGGTCTGCTGCTTCCCAAGTGTGTGTTGTTCCGAGGCGGGGTGTCCTCCCTCCTGCACCCATAATCCAGTCCTAGAAGGCTGAGGACACTGTTACTGACTTCCATACCCTGCCCTTTCCTGCACACAGCTTGGGGGTTTTCTGGTCGTCTGTTCCTGATGCCAGTTGTCAAATTAAAAAGAGATTCTAGGGCCAGGCATTTAGCTCAGTGGTTTCGCCGCCTGCCTTGCAAGCACAAGGACCTGAGTTCGATCCCCAGTACCAAAAAATAAAAATAAAAATAAATTTTAAAATAAACAGAGATACTAGCCAGGCACGGCAGTGCGTCCATGTAACCCCAGCACTTTGGGAGCCTGGGCAATTTAGCAACTTAGTTAGACCCTACCTCAAAATAAAAAATAAAAAGGGCTAAAGATGTAGCTCAGTACAAAGGCACTGGGTTCAATCTCCCATCCTGCAAATTTTAGAGGGAGTAGGGTAGAGCAGGCTAGTTCACTTCAAAGAAAATCCCCCAGGGCCCTGCCTGGCTGCAGGTGCAGCACTGATGACAGCAAGATCCACCTGCCGAAACCCTCACCTGAGACTAGGAATCAAGGTAGCCATGTCAAGGGCTGGCTCCCCTCAGAGCTGAAAGGTCAGAAGCACACCAGGATGGGCTCTGAGCACTCAGCTATTCTTCCTTTTTTTTCAAAAGTATTTTGCCTGATTAAAAAATAAGTACATGCTCTCAGTAGAAATTTCAGAAACGCATAAAGCAAATTAAGCTAGCTATACTAGTACCATTCTTAATATTCTGGACTTTGATTTCTATGTGTATATTTTAATGAAATTCAACTCATTGCATATAGTGTTCACTCATCAGCTTGAAATGTCAAGAATATTTTTATACTATTAAATATTCTTCCAAGCACAATTTTAAGGGCTCCATAGCTTTACCTCATGCCATAATTTATTTAAACAGCTCAGTCCCCAATTGCTGGATACTTGGGGTGTTTCTAATAGCCCCTAACTCTGCAGGGGGGCCAGCAGGTCATGACATTGGTACAGGGCCTCCTAACCTACTCAGGAGAGCTGCAAGAATTGGAAACGCACATTTTTCAAATCTTTTAGATTCTCCTGTGGATTGGAGCATTCCATGGGTGGCAGCTGCATATGTTTCAGTTCAGCTAGAGGCAGACCCTTCTAGCAACAAGGTTAGCAGCTCAGTGGAAATAATGAGTTCCACATATCCGAAAATGTTCAAGAGGAGGGTTGCAGCCACTGGGTAGAGGTATAGGTGAAGAGACAATGTTGACACTAACCTTAACCCAGATGACATTTAGTAACTCCATAGAAAATGGGATTTCTGTACAAAATGTGCATCTTGATGACTTTCATCCAGAGCAAGATCTAAGTCTTCGACATGTATTACAATCCTGGAACCTTCCAGAGGACGTACACGCATTTACACATTGCTGCAGAGATAGAAAGCAAATCATCCTCTTGCCTCATTCTTCGGGCCTCAGCAGGGGGGCTGGAATTCACTGGCTTTCACCCATCACAGTGTCTCCCTCACCCACCTTTATCTTCTTTATTTTTAATTAGAAGTTTGACCCTATCCTTAGCAGAATAAGAATGGCAAGTGGAGTAAAACAGAGTAATGAAGCCAAGGGACAGCAACAGGCTGGGACATGGTGGAGCAAAGGACCCATGGACAGTGTCACACCTGCTTAAGTGACTTAATGGCTTGGCTATGAGCAACCAGCCGAGTGCCTTTCCAGGGAAAGGTACTCTGGGGAGGTCCCCAGCAACAGATCCTGAGTCATGAGGTTGGGCAAAAGGAGTATATTTATTTGGAAAGTAAACCAGGAAGCAGAAGTAGAGGGGAGGGAAGGAAATAGAGAAGGAAAGGTAGCCAATAGGCACCTTGGGGCCAAGCACATTACTACTTTGGACAACTGGACCTGCACCCCACTCGGGAGATCTGGGCTGTGGTGCAGAATGCATATGCCTGGAATCAGGTACCTGGGAGGCTGGGGAATCTGCACTCCAACTCCATCGGACACTGGGGGAGCCCTGGTCCCAGGGGGATTCTCGCTGCCAAGCACTTCCTCCTCCACCCAGCCCTGGGCAAAGAGCCATGGACACAGGCAGCTGGAGCTCACCAGGGAAGAGAGGGCAGCAGGGATGTGCGTAGCAACATCTGCCCTAGACAGAATGTCTTGGGAATCTCTTGAAGGTCAAATAAACAGAATTGTTCTATGTGAGTGAGAAAAGAAAAGAAAGATTCCTGCTCAATGAGAAGTTAAAATTCCACCCAATCTTCAGAAAATTTCTTCATAATCAAACTAGGCAAAATGTTTCCCAAAACAGAATTATTTTAAAAGCTTGGTTATTTTGTATGTTAAAAGAGAGGGATCAGAGTGTGTCAGTAGTTCAGTGTTCCTTCCCTTAAACTGAGAATTAAAATCCTTGCAAAGTGCAAATCAATATATAAATGTAAGTCATTTGGGTTAATGTAATTCAACAAATCTACGTTGAGCCTGTTAAGTGTTAAGAGCAAAAGATAATAACAACCACTTGTGTTATTACTCTGTTGTCCTACGATTGTATTTAACCTGAGAGATCCAGTCCCACTAGTAAATGCTCACCACCCCAAATAATTAAAATTTTCCCTTTCCTACCTCCATAATAGCATGAAATGAATGTTGGTCAAGAGACTATTTCAGACCAAGTCAAAATCAGAACCTCCTTTACCCATTTTTCCTTTACAAACAGACTGGATAATTCTGCAGCTCAGGACACTGCTGCATTATACCTGCAGCACCCATGGCCTGGGGGTGGGGGCAACAAAAGATGCATGATAAGATGCATGCACACACGGCATCACACAAGTTGGGAAAGACACGGATGCAGGTGAAAGTGGGCAGTAGGGAGGATGCATCTCCTTGCTGCAAGGCTCCCAGACCAGTAATGACTGCAGGTTGACTCATGGTGCTGGCCAAGCCTAGGGTCCCTGGGCAGAGTCTGTGGGATGGAAGGCTCATCTTCAAGCACACATGGGTGTGACTACACCTTCCCCAGCTCTGCTCCAAGGACCTCCTATGCTAAGCCCACAAAGGTGAGAAAATTACTGTTGAGCCTTTAAAACCCAAGGGGAATGTCTGCTGGGTGGACTACAAGACCAGGACTTGAAGACAGGTGTAGTCAGCTCTCTCATGTCTATGGGTTCTGACTGAATGGGCACAGAGACTTTTTCTTTGTCATTCCTTCCTATCCAACACAATATAACTGCTATTTACACAACATTTGCATATATTAGGTATTACAAGTAACCTAGAGATGCTGTAAAGTATACAGGCGATATGTGTGGCAGGTGGTACTCCAGTCAGGTAAGGGATGGGAGTGTCCATGGATTTTAGCATAAAGGGGCCCTGACACTAATCCTTCCTGAATACCAAGGCACAACTGCACTGTATTTGGATTTGGGTGGAGACCCCAGGAAGCACCAGCAGGGAGGAAGGGAGGTAATGTCTAAAAGGAAGGGCAGACCCGGAAAGAAGCTCCCCCGCCACCATCCCAGGCTCCTAGGCCAGAGAAGCTCAGCTGGTCCTAGAAACCGGAAGGAAGCTCCCCGCCTCCATCCCAGGCTCCTAGGGCAGAGAAGCTCAGCCGGTCCCAGAACCTGGAAGGAAGCTCCCCGACTGCCATCCCAAGCTCCTAGGGCACAGAAGGTGAGCCGCGTGGGCGCCAGAAGCACCCCCTCCCATGGAAATGAGAAGACACGTAAACAAGTCTCAAAAACAGACTTCTGGATCACCTACAGCAACCCCAAAGGGAAATGAGATGGAACAATCT